TTTTATTTTGTTTTTATTTTTTTTATGATTTTGATTTAAATAAAATAATATATAAAACTTATAATATCATATAATTTTAAAATAATTTTTTTTATATTTAAATATTTATAAGTTAATTTAAATTTGACTCGAAACTTGATTTGAACTTGACTCAACTCAAATAAATTCAAGTCAAAATCGAGTCGAGTTAAATTGAGTCGAGTTTAAAATTTATATAACTCGAATCAAGTCAAGTTGAAAGATTTATAAAATAAATTTGACTCGACTCGAAAAAAACGAGTTGAATAGAGTTGATCTTTTAACTCGACTCAACTCGACACATTCGGAACTAACTCTTCCGTGACAAGTAGGTATGTGTGACAAATAAGATTTCGCCACTCAAAAAAAAAACTGTCCCCTGAATAAATAGTAAAAACGGAAACTTGAGGGGCGTAACAAATATTTTATTATAATCACGTCTCTGAGGATTTTTGATGGTGATCCTGGGGAAGATATTTTTAATGATATATCACGTGGAAAGAATATAATTGGCCTAAATAAACCAAATCGAAAAAAATATGGGCTATACGTTGAGGTCATATGCTAAAAGTTGAACTGTGATATTCACGGACTCAGTCATTTACTAATCCAAGTATTTACTCTAATCCTAAAAATAATTTCCAAGATGAAGAGAATAGAAACTTATAAACGTGGTAAAAATCGGGCTTTTCTCGGTGAAATTTTCTTTGTGCATATCCGCATATGATATTAAACGTTAACCGCAGCACAGAATGTATGATAGCATGCTGATCACACGGTTGTACATGTAAACTAAGCGTAATAAATTTTTCCTCCGATATTATTTGAAATCATACTCTTTTTCAGCCTTTCTCACTTTTCTTACTATTTTGTTTCATTAGCATACATCCTAACGTCATGTCGTCAGAAAGGGAAGCTTTATCTCTCCTTGCCAAGGCCGATAAAAAAGCGACAACTTTTAGGTTTTTTGGGGGCAACAATTTCGAAGATGCTGCCGAATTGTACATTAAAGCTGCAAATTCTTTTAAACTAGCTAAACGATGTAGGTGTTCTTTTGATTTTCGTTATTCTTTTTCTTATTTGTTACAGTTTAACAGAGAAATAGTAAAATTACCGATAAAGAGCAAATTTTCTTTATATTATAGGGAAAGAGGCTGGTGATGCGTTTTCCAAAGCTGCAAACATGCAAATACAACTTAATGAACGTGATGAAGCTGCTTCAACTTTCATCAATGCTTCAAAGTGTTATAAGAAATGCAGTTTTGAAGGTACATTGGAATTTTAAATGAATAATTCATTTTATTATTAGTTTGATCTAATTGTAATTATTGTCATACATTATAGATGCTATCACATCTTTAAAACAGGCTATCGAAATTCTTACAGATAGAGGTAGATTTCAAGCTGCAGCAGGACATCAGAAAGATATTGCACAGATTTATGAATCTGATCTAGTTGATTTAGAGAAAGCAATGCAATCTTATGAAATTGCAGCGGATTGGTATGCTGGAGAGGAGGCGAATGCGTATGTATCCAGGACATCCTATTAGTCATAATTTTTATGTGATTTATAAGATTTGAGCTAACTAGTTTATAATTATATTATAGTCTAGCGAATAATTGTCTTCTTAAAGTAGCAACTTTTGCCGCTACATTGGAACAATATGATAAGGCCATTGAAAAATTCGAACAAGTTGCACACGCTAGTCTTGATAATCAGCTTACAAAATGGTCACTTAAAGAGTATTTTTTGAAAGCAGGACTATGTCATATCGTTAATGGGGTACTATCCACTTACTTTTTTTTATTAAAAAATTTTTTTTTTTTTACATTATTAAATATATATCTATTTGATTTTTTATACGATAGGATTATATAGGAGCCGGTAATGCCATTGAAAGATATAAAGATATGGATGTATCTTTTGCTGGTACTCGAGAGTATCAATTCCTTCAGGATATCCTTTCCGCAGTTGAGAATGGGGATGTTGAAACATTCACCAATAGAGTTGTTGATTTCGATCAATTGTCTAAATTAGATAATTGGAAAACGACAATTCTATTACGGATTAAGAAGGGGATTCAAGAAGAACCAATTTTGACTTGAAACATATATGATTAAAGACATTTAATTTTAAATTTCTTTTGCCAATTCTATTTGCGAGGGTTTAAGTAGTTTTCTTTTCCTTGGGAATTATTAATTATTTGTTTTTATTTTTATTTTTATTTGGAAACGCTAATGTTTGATACATTGGTTGTATTATGTCCCTTAAATTTGATGAATTACGGAATATTTCACTGATGATTGTAAATTTATGAACCATTATATTATTTTATTTATTTAGTTTTCATTACGTAATTAAAAAAAAAATATACAAACATATATATACTTATATATTTATATTCAATACCATCCAACTTTAAACATAATTTGATAATTTAGCAATTTACTCTGTAGATTGACTATTTTAATACAAGGAAATTTTAGAAAGTAAATTCATTCCTTTCAAGGAAATGAACAGTCAGACAAGAAAGACATTTTTTTAATTTTTTTATAAATTAGTGAATCTAATAAATAAATGAATGAATGAAATTCATATGATGAAAAGAACTCATTTAGCGTTTATTATAATTCTATTTTTGTGTAAATTATTATCACATAACATATGAAATAACAATGTTTCATTTAATAACTAAGATGGAAATAAAAAAAGGTTCATATTAGTTAAAATTATATTTGATTTCCAAAATTTTAAAAGGATTAATTAACACATACCGATAATGATCCGCTTTGAATGGACCTTCAACATTAATACCAAGGTATTTAGATTGAGTGGGAGTAAGCTTGGTAAGTTTAACTCCTAATTGTTCAAGATGAGCAGCTGCAACTTCTTCATCAAGTTTCTTTGGCAACATATGAACTCCAAGCGGGTAAGAAGCGGTATCGGTCCAAAGAGCGATTTGTGCTAACACTTGGTTTGTAAAGGAGTTGCTCATTACAAAACTTGGATGTCCCGTTGCACAACCTAAATTGACTAATCTACCTTCGGCAAGAAGAATAATCTTATGACCATTCTTCAAAGTATAACGATCGACTTGAGGCTTAATGTTAACGTGTTTAACAGCGTTACTTTTTAACCAAGCTACATCAATCTCAATATCAAAATGACCAATACTTCAGATTATCCGTAAATTAGAACTTTGATCAGCATTGTATAAATTAACAAAAAAAAATTAAGTACATAAGATATAATATCTATAAACACCAATATCTTACTTGCACACAATAGCATCATTTTTCATCTGTTCGAAATGTTGTCCTAAAATAATATCTCGATTACCAGTAGTAGTTACGAAAATATTACCTTGGGTGCATGCATCTTCCATGGTTGTAACTTTGAAACCTAAAAGGTAACATTCATAAATGACTTGTTAGTAATTTGATTATAAAAGTAAAAAACAAATCAAGAACATTTTACCTTCCATGGCTGCTTGCAAAGCGTTAATTGGGTCAATTTCGGTGACAATAACACGAGCGCCCATTCCGCGAAGAGCTGCTGAACAGCCTTTGCCGACATCACCATAACCTGCAACTACAGCAACTTTGCCAGCAATTTGTACGTCAGTGGCACGTTTGATGCCATCGATAAGCGATTCACGGCAACCATAAAGGTTATCGAATTTTGATTTAGTGACGGAATCATTTACATTGATGGCAGGAACCTTTAATTTTCCTTCCTTGAGCTTTATATACAAGTGGTGGACACCAGTAGTAGTCTCTTCTGAAATACCCCTAATGCCTAGAAATTTTTTTTAAAAAAAAAACTTATCAGAACAATTTATTTGATTAAAAATGAGAATATTGATAACTTTACTACCTTCTAAAAATTCAGGGTGTTTGTCGTGGACTAACGAAGTCAAATCACCACCATCATCAAGGATCATGTTAAGAGGCTTTCCGTCCTTAAAAGCACAGAGAGATTGTTCGATACACCAAATGTATTCTTCTTCAGTCTCACCCTTCCACGCGAAAACAGGCACACCAGTGGCTGCAATAGCAGCTGCGGCCTGATCTTGCGTAGAAAAGATGTTGCAAGAACTCCAAGCAACTTCGGCGCCTAAATGAGTGAGTGTTTCTATCAAGACGGCCGTTTGAATTGTCATATGCAGACAACCGGCGATGCGAGCTCCCGCCAAAGGTTTGGTAGCACCATACTTTTCTCGTAAAGTCATAAGTCCTGGCATTTCACATTCTGCAATTTCGATTTCTTTGCGGCCCCAGGCAGCAAGCGAGATGTCAGCTGTAGTACGAAAGGAACCATTAATCAATAAATCTGTTCAGATAAAAGTTAAAGATCCAAATCCAAAACACTTGCCAACTTTAAAATTAGTCATTTTTTTCTTTATTGAGATTAAAGATGGTTAAAATTAAGTGAGTTCGTTAAGATTAAAGAAAAAGTAATTTTTTTTTTAATCTGAAGCACAATTAGATACAAAAAATTTTAATTTAATATTTTTTGTATTTCTATCGCTATTGGCTTAAAAAAAAAAATTGATTATCTGCATGAAAAAAAAAAAATTAATAATCATTGATTATCTGCATGAAAAAAAAAAAAAAATTTTTTCAAAATGTTTATTCGACAATTGATACAGAATACTCGATTTTTCATTAGACGAACTTCATTTTCTGCTTTCCCCACAAGTGTAACTCGTCGTAATTTGAAAATTGATCGGTCAAATTTTCATTTTGTTAAAAAGGTTTATTATTTTTATTAATGTTCTCGATTAAAAAAAAGGTTACTAACATATCCTAATATGGACTGATATAGGATATATTTCCAACCGTTTCCACAACCATCGGTTTAGTTGGAATATCTTACTGGTATGTGTACAATAACAATGTTGCGTTGGCTGATGCTCCACCAAAAAGTGTAGAGTTTGAAACAACTGGTATTTAAAAAAAAAAAAATAAATAAAAAAAAAATTGAATGTTTTTGCTCTTATTTTAGTTTGATCGATCGATCGATCGATTAATATTATATATGATGTACATATGTATATATACATATATATATTATTTTTTTTTTTTTTTTTTTTGATTTTAAGAGGAACCTGAAAGCAAAGTACAAATTCCAACGTATATTTCATTACATGATGGGACAAAAGCAAGACTTATAGGATTAGGTATTAGAACAGTTTCATTTTTGAGAATGAAAGTTTATGTTGTTGGAATGTATATTCGTGAAAGTGACATAGATATGTTAAAAAAGTGGAAGGTAAATAATGCAAATAAAAAAAAAAGAAAATGTTGAACATGAAATTTGGTAAATCCTCCTTTTGCTTAGGGGTATGATAAAGAAAAGTTCATGTCAGAGGATGATGAATCGATGGCTTTATCAATTTTGGATCAGCCTATTGTAATGGCAATTCGTATTGAACCTGTACGAAATACAAGCGGACATCACTTGCGTGACGGTTTCTCGCGAACGATTACTCACAGGATGCAAAATGGATTCATGAGCGAAGAGGAGGCTGAGGATGTGTTAAAGGCAATAAGGGAACTCCAAGCACATTTTCCAAAGTCAGTGGTGAAAACCGGTACAGCTTTAATTCTGACAAAGGAACCAAATGGAACTTTAAGAATGGAATATGAGGTATATAATTATATATACATGCATGTACATTTTATGATCTATATGTTAATTATGAATCAATATTCATCTAGGGAAAATATATGGGATCGGTGAATAATGTTTGGTTAACAAATAATATATTTATGGGCTATCTGGCAGCCAAAGACCCTATTTCTAAAAAGGTGAGTTTATGAAATAAGGTCACATGACTATGACGGACGTGCTTAAAAATTTCAACTTTGCAGGCGAAGAAAAGTATTGCTGATGGATTTGAGGAATTATTAAAATAAACAAGGTAAAATTTTAATATTTATTAATATTAAAAATCAAAATCAACATTGATTTTAATGAGTTGATCTCTAAGGAATTTAGGAAACGACGTGTAACCAAATATAGGTGAGGCAATGAATTGATTTCTTTTTTTCCTTCCCACCCCTTCTATGGCAAAGAGAAGGTATGTTGGGAGCACCCTAAAGAATCGCTGTCAAAGTATCACATACGGAGCATTAATCTTTGGATTATTAGCTCTTTTCTATTACTTTGGGGAAAGTCCTCGGACACATGACAGAAAGTGTCGCCCATAATGAGGCATAACCAATTCGTATCATATGACCTTCCTTACGACCAAAGAAGAGTTTTCCTCGAGGTTATTGGAAGTGTCGCGAATTTGGTTTGTTGGTCATAGCACAGTTATGCGATTGTAGCTTCTTTCCGTAAAGGAGAGATGTTATAACACAACGAGGCTTACTCTTAGGATGTTCCCACCTGATTCTCTTTTTTTTTTTTTTTTTTTTTTTTTTTTTGAATTAAAATTAATTTTATTGTAAATCTGACACATTCATTAATTTTAGTTAAATAATTTTGTTTGCGATAATTCTTTTTATATATTACGCACACTTAATTAATTATTCTATAATCCCTTCTGATATTACAAAACATATTTTGAAATTTGTATTCATAAATTTTGTATATTTTATCATTAAATTAACTAACTTGATGATAAGCTTGTGACAAAAGATATTCTTCCCAACTAACTTTCCCACTTGAAAAGAAGAAGGATGAATTAATTTTCATTTCATTAGATTAATTTTTTTTAAAAAAAAAGTATTTAATAAAGACTTACTCATTATCCATGTCATCTTCAAGCAATACATGATCAATCATTTCAATAATTTCTTCTAGTTTCAAAGGTGGTTGTTCATCGTTACTACCAATTATATTATCGGTAAAGGCTTCGCGTAATTCATGACCATCTAAAAATCCGTCGTTATTTACATCATGTATAGTAAATAAATAGTATAAATCATCATCATCAGCTAAATCTTCAAGAGGAACGTCTTTTAAATGATTCTTTATGTGCCTTTACAGAAAAAAAATATATATATAAAAATAAAATAAAATAAAATAATCAATTGGTCAATATAATTCAAAGACAAGGTATGAATTCTGATTTAGTATGTTATTATTTACTGTCTAATTTTTGCGTTGTCACCATAATTATTGTGCTCTCCTTGATAATCGATATGAGCTCTTGCAAAAGTAAGTATTTGTATAATTATTAAAAATAACAAAAAAAGATTAATTAAAGAATTATTTTTCATGATAAAAAGAATTAAACGATAAAAATAAAAAATTATTATAATAAAAAAAGAAAATAAAAAAATTTAACGACGAATCATTATTAAACTTCATTGTCCAATCTACGATTGCCATGTGGAATAACAGATCACCAAATTTTCAAACCGGTTTAAATTGGTGCATCAAATCTACATTAAACCAACGCGTTTTTCTTTGACGCGTTTTTTTTAATTTTAATATTCTCAAGAAAAAAAAGTATGAATAATTACATTTACTTTGATGATGAAAACTACGATCAGGAAGGTGAGTATGGTGAATATAATGGAGAAGGAAGTAGGAAAACAGAAGACGAAAGAATTTTACAACCTTTTCAAGAACCTAATGAAGAAGAAAAACAAGGAACAAAAGAGAACAAAAGCGTTAAAAGAGCAAAAACTTATTCTGAAACTTGGCATTATTTTAATACCCAAGATCCACAACATCCTACAAAAGTTATTTGTCAAAAATGCAATAAAATGTATTCAAAATCAACTGGAATAAGTATTTTGAAATTCCATTTGAAAAGGGTACATGGAATAAAAATCAACTATGTAAAGAAATTACAAACCGTTGATCCTTTGCCTAAAGATGAAAAATTAGCTCGAGATCAAGCATTGTTGGATTGGATTATAGCAGATTCGCAACCATTTTCCGTTGTCACCAACATTCACTTTATCAATTTGATAAAAACTTTGGATCAAAGATATCATCTTCCTGAAAAATCATCATTAAAAGAAATAGTTGCGGAACGTTTTGACGAAATGAGAAAAAATGTTAAGTTAGAGATCGATAAAATCCCAGGAAAAATATCATTAACATCCGATATGTGGACATCAGCACTTACCGATGATTATTTTCTTGAACTCACTATTCATTTCATTAATAAGGAGTGGCAACATCGGCATTTCCTTTTGGATATCATCTCATTTAACGATCGTCATGCTGCCATTAATATTACCGATGCCATCGTATCTATTTTAACTGAATTTAATATTAAAGAGAAAGTATTAGCATTGACAACGGATAATGAAGATACAATGTTAACAGTTGGTCGTTTAGTTTTTAAACAACTAGAATCTGATATAACAAATCCAGTATTTAGTCATTATCGTTGTGCCGCTCACATCCTTAACTTGGCAGCCCAGCAAGGACTTGAATTAATTGATGATGCTATTGTAAAAGTACGACGACTAATGATAAAAATTAAGCAATCGGAAATACTTAGTGATGAATTGAGAAATTTGTGTCATTTTGCAAATATTAATTATCAAAGTCCAGAATTGGATGTAAAGACAAGTTGGAATTCGACGTATAATATGTTAAAGAAAGTGGAAATCATGTGGAGTGGAATTCAGACGTTGGCCGTGAATAGTCAAGAAGTACGAAAACTAATGCCAACGGAAATTGATTGGAAAACAATTAAGGTCTGTTAATATATGATATAGAAAGATCGGCAAAAAAGAATATATGGTAAAGGTTGATTCATGCATTTGAGGTAATTAATTTATGATCAATTTAATTGAGAAAATCTGATAATTCTGTCATGCTTTAATTTGACTTCTATTATTTTGTAGATTGTACGGTGGATGAATACTAGTCTCGAACTCGAAAAATAGAATTTCCAAATGCTTACAATCATTTTATTTACTAATTTTTTTTATATTATACAATTTAACAAAAAAGGAAACATTGTTTGTCTTAGAACCATTAGAAAAAGCCACCATCTACCTTTCGACTTCACAATATCCAACAATTGCCGATGTTCGGTTTGTATTTCATGGTATAAGGGAGCATTTAGATTATATTATTGAAAAGGATGAATTTACACAGAATGAATTAACAGCTTCAATAAATCAAAAAGTTGGCGAATATTGGGCTTATGTTGATCAACAAATCTTAGTGTCGACGGTACTTGATCCCCGAATTAAGCTTTCCCTTTTTGAAACTGGAACACTAGCAGCCCAAGCAATTTCAGCAGTAACCTCTTTATTGACCAATTATCATCATGTACCAATCCTTGAAAATCATGAGACCGAAGTAGAAAATGAAAATCTACGTCAGCACTTGAAAAAACAGTGTATAAAACCAGAAGTTTCGGATGAATTGGACAGGTACTTAGCATTGCAAATCGATGAAAATGTGAACCCGCTTATTTGGTGGCGGACACATGAACCCGAATTTCCTGTTTTGGCACAAATGTCACGCGATTACTTATCTATCCAAGCGACAAGTGTGGCATACGAAGAGATTTTTTCTGTAGCAGGTAATACTATCACCAAAACAAGAGATCATGTCAATCCAGAAACAGCTAGGGCGACTTTGTGTGCAGAGTCATGGATTAAAAATGGGATAAATGTGTAATCTCGTAATAAAATTTTTTCACGCAAATTATGAGATCGTCACAGCTGTCAAGCTGGTCATGTGGTCGGCTTTAGTTGTAAATCAACACTTTCGTGTAACACGAAATCGTCATTCGCGTTTCCTTTACGCCATCTTTTTATCTTTTTTTTGGTATAATAAATATACAGCACCTTTGAATTTGAATCAAAAGTACCTTTAGTATTCGATTTATTTGATTTCAAGTTCATCTTTTACAACCGTTTACACTCTAAACACAAAAACGAATCAGATGGCATTTTCAACTTCATTACTAGCTTATATGGGTTAATATATTTTTGCTGGCGATAATTTTATAAACTGTTCTATTTAATTCTATCCAACACATTTTGTGTGATTAGTATTTGGCTTTAAGCGTACTTTGAAAGTATTATTTTCTGAATAATTAATTAATTCATCAACAACCGATGTCTTGCATCGGCAATGATCGAAAACCTAAATAAGAACCTATTGACAGATCATTGGTTGGACTTTCAGGATTACTTGTGAAAGCCTATGATTAGTCATATTGTCCGAAATACGTATTTTTTAACAAAAGAAAAAAAAAAAAATTGACCTCGTGATCTCCAGGCGTGACAGTTTTATTCCAGGAAGGTTTCTTAAATTATGTGTGTATATTGAAATTACAATATGGCACCTGACTTCAATAGGACATAATATTCCATGGATTGAATGTGAAGGATGTGCCTGTGAAGAGGACAAAGTTATATCAATTCCTGACATCATTCGAGCATTTGGAATAGCTGGCAATCAAGGCGTCTCGATTGCACCAGATCGCATGTTTTATTGAGCAGGGACGTGTGAGGCGAATACGCATCCAAAAGGATAGATGGAAGTTTCATTGATCCCGCTGTATTTGGCAGATGTTCGCGATGCATTAATTAAAAATCGAAATAGTTCTGAAAATAAGATTTATTTGTGGCACTATGATCATCTTGCATTGCAATGATTCCTGTGGCTGAAAGAAACCATGTGATTTCCATAGGATTTTTCTTGGCGCATGGCCTGAAAAGGGTGGCTGCGGCTTCATTTGATCTATTTATTTGGATGATGAATATTACACAACTTGATTTGTGATCAAAAAAAATCAAATAATCATATAAGCGAGAATTTTCTAAAAAATTTTTCATTTAATAAAAAAAAAAAAAGATGGGTTACCCAGGACGAACATATAAAGAAAAGTACGGAAAGCGTGATGATAAAATTTCTCAACCACCACCTCAACCACAACAGAAGTATCCACCCGAATATGGTGGATATGGTAACTATCAAAGACCACCACCAGGTTATCCACTGCCATTAGGACCACCTTCGCAAGGAGGTTACCCAACACCGTTTGGACCACCACCTTCGCAAGGAGGTTACCCACCACCGTTTGGACCACCACCTTCGCAAGGAGGTTACCCACCACCATTAGGACTACCACCTTCACAAGGAAGTTACCCACCACCATCTTCGCAAGGAGGTTACCCACCGCCTTTAGGACAACCACCTTCACAAGGAGGTTATCCTCCACCAGCGGGACCGCCACCTTCGCAAGGAGGTTATCCTCCACCTTCAGGACCACCGCCTTCGCAAGGAGGTTATTCAAGACCACCAAAAGCTGATCAAGCACCACTTCCTCCAAGACAAGATAGTTATGCGCCTTCATATCCTCCACCTCCAACGCAAAGTATTTATGCTCCACCTCCATATCCTCCAACACAAGGACCTCCTTCCGTTGAAAAACCTCCAAGAAATCAACAATATCAACCTCCTTCTCAAACATATTCATCACCGCCTCCAAATACAATTGAGCAACGTCCTAGCGCCGGACATACACCACCTCCGGGTTATACATTGTATCAAAATACTAATGTCAAACCTTCTTCAAATGTTCAATTATCGAATTGCACGGGTCGTAAGAGAGCTTTACTAATTGGAATCAATTATACTGGTACACAATTTGAATTAAAAGGATGTATAAATGATGTAGCTAATATGAAGAGTTTCTTGATTGAATTGTATGGATTTCGAGAAGAGGACATGGTCATTTTAACGGATAATCAAAAAGATAAACAAAGAATTCCCACAAAGGATAATATTTTAAAAGCAATGAAATGGTTAGTTCACGATGCAAAACCAAATGACTCGTACTTTTTCCATTTCAGTGGTCATGGAGGTCAAGAGAAGGATAAAAATGGAGATGAGGAAGACGGTTATGATGAGACCATTATGCCAGTGGATTTTACAACGAAGGGACAGATTATTGATGATGTCATGCATGATATCATGGTGAAACCGCTTCCACCTGGTGTAAGGCTGACAGCTATATTTGATTCTTGCCATTCCGGTACAGCACTTGACTTACCTTATATATATTCAACTCAAGGAAAAGTGAAGGAACCAAATATTTTATCGGATGGGGGTAGCACTATTTTAAGCGTTGGCATGTCATATATGAGGGGAGATCTTAATGGTATCAAAACAAGTTTGATGTCATTTGGTAAGAGGGCAACGTCAGGAAAGAGTATTGCTGAACAAAATAGACAAACTAAATCAAGTCCCGCTGACGTGATAATGTTAAGTGGATGTAAAGATGCTCAGACATCTGCAGATACAAATGAAGCTGGGATTAACACTGGAGCCATGTCTTACGCTTTAATCAAAACGTAAGTTATATTTTTTCCGTTCAAAAAAAATTTATTCAACATTTTATTCGAGTTAATGATTTAATTGATGAACTTATAATAAATACAGAATGAGAGAAAATAAGGATATTTCGTATCAACAGATGTTAAATTTGGTTAGAGACATCCTTGCATCGAAATACTCTCAGAAACCACAATTAAGCGCGTAAGTATTTCTTAAATTGTTGGCGTATGATTTGATTTGATCTTTTCTAAAAAAAAAATTTCACTTCTTTTGTAGATCACATGAAATGGATATGAATTTGAAGTTTGTGATATAAAATTTCTTTTGAACATTTGCTTTTTTGACCTTTTTTTTTTTTTTTAAAAAAAAAAGGAGTTCTTTACATTTGACATTATAGAATAGGAGAGATCATTTGGATTTAAGTTACTTTACCGTGCAATGAATGTATTATAAACACTTTTTGTTATTTCTTTTTTTTAAAAAAAAAGAAAATTGGTTTATTTTAATTTGTATATTTATTTATTATATATAAACAAATAAATAAAGAAAAAAAAAAAGAATAGTAATGAAATAAATTTTTACATAAACATTTAATAATCTAAATCTAGTTAAAACTCTATATATTCTATCTATTGTTTAATGGTGTTGTCTTCGTTTTTAGATTGACTGATTAATTTAAAGTGTCTGGTATCATCATCGCTTTTTAATGCAACTTTACTATGTCTTAATCTTTCAATACCTTTACCAACATTTTCGATATGTAATTCAACCGGCATCTCGATGATACTCGGTCTAGAAACATGTTCACGCAATTCTTCCATATCTAATTGATAAGAGGTTAAACTGTACAAAGTAGTTTGCACTTGTGATACAGCCAAACGACGCTGCCTATCTAAATCGATTAATAATTCGAGGTTGTCTTGAAATATTTGTCTTTTCACTACATTAAAACCTAATCTAGACCATAAATCCGCCAACAATTTATTATGTTCGGTTTTTTGATACGTTGATTCTTGCGTTGCCAAATCATGTATTGACATTAACATTTCATCTAGATCTGTCAAACTAGAAAAAAAAAAAAAATAAAACCGAATTAATAAAGCATTTTTTTTTTTTTTAAAGAAAAAAAGTTCACTTTCTTTGTTTACCTTCCAAGCGCATCTTGACCGACCAAGATCATTCGTTTTAAATCACTCTCGATGAGGGACATCATTTGATTATAAGCTACTGACAATTCTTTCGAACTAGCTTTATTATCCCTAACATTTTCTAACGCTTTTAAAGCAAATAAATTATAAGTAATCAAATTGTCTAAAGAACTTCTCGTTCTAGCTTGAAGCAATTGTAAACTTCTACCAACGATCCTTGCCTTATCTACAAACTCTGTTAACCTGTCAACTAATTCATTTGATGTGGTTAAAGAGGAATATTTTATCAAGGTTCTCAAATCCGCCGTGGCCAATTCGGCCTTTTTAATATCCAATGCTAAAGATGATGATGGACCATTATATGATAATTGTTGATCCATGATTTGTTCATAGGTTTCTACTTGTCTATTAACCAATTTTGAGAAATCCGGTATTGGGGATTGACATAATGGGATATATGATACAATTGGAATCTTACATATTAATAAAGAAGGATCTTGTTGAAAATAAAAAGTATCTGATAAAAATACCACTCCAACCCAACCAAGGTAGACCGCCAATATTATTGAAAATATTGGTTTCAATATAGAAAGTGCCCCAACCAAAATATCTAAAAGATCGAAAAAGTAAAGAAAAAAAAAATGAAATGAAAATGAAATGAAAAAAAAAATAAAATAACGATTTTTTTTTTTTAGTTTATGATTTTGTAAGTTGAACCAAAAAAAGTTACACGTTCTTATTCATCAAAAAATACATGCCAACACAAAAGTTTATAGGTCCTAATACGGTTGCTGAAGTATTGCTTTTATTTGACATTTTTTTTTTTTTTGTTTATGAAAGAAAGAAATGAAAGGAAGATGAAAAATCAAAAAAATGAAAGGGCGCTCGAATGACCCAAGGGTTACAAGGGTTGCATTTCGTGCGCGCATCTCGTTACACGGGTGATCATTTATTTTATTCTCGGTAAGAAAGATTGACTAAATTACAAATCATTTAATCATTATTGTGTATATTCGGACCAATTTTTTTTAGATCGTTTCGTCGCGATCATATTTTTTTTTTTTAAAGAAAAAAAAAGTTCCCGTTTTAAAAAGTCTTTAGTTCCAAATATTTATATATGTATTTTATTTATTTATTTTATAAAGAACCAATTCCATTTTATTTATTCAAAAAAAAAATTTATTTTTTTGTTTTTTGGTTTTAAATGAATGTTTTGTTTTTTTTTATAAGAAAGGGGGGGGGGGGGCATACTAATATATAAAACATTAAATCAAAAAGAAATTTATAAAAAGAAAAAATAGCTATACATAATTAATTTTTTTTTTTTAAAAAAACAAGGGGAAAGTTTACAAAAAATTTTCTTACAAAGAGAAATAAAAAAAGGGAATCAAAGTTACAATTGAAAGAAAAAAAAAGAGAAGGGAAACTCACATAAATGATGAACAAAGAAAAATTTAAAAAATGTAAAAAAGGTGATTTTTATATTTTTTTTTTTTTCTTTTTTTTTTTTTTTTTTTTTTATTTTTTTTTTTTTTTTTTTTTTTTTTTTTTTTTTACCTGAATAATATTTATAATATATATAAGATTTTATATAATACATAGAAATTTATATTTCCTCATAGGTTGTGATCAATTTTTTTTTTTTTGTTATATAAATAATGTTTGCTATAAAAAATAGTGGTTGGTTTTGTTTTTTTGTTTATCGTTGGCGATGAATAATATATAAGAATAATATTGAAATTCGTCGAGTAGAGAGAAAGTATCGAAAATAAAAAAGTAAAGCGAGGATCGTTAAAGAATTTCGAAGGGAAACAGAAAAAAAAAAGTATGGATCGAAATAGGATTCGAAATTTTTTTTTTTTAAAAAAAAAAAAAGAAATCGGGACTGGATAATTGTTTTTTTTTTTAGGCGAATTTTTGATTTAAACGTGAGTATTAGAAGCCATGTCAATCGTGGAATTTAATGCAGAATGTGACTTTTTTATTGCAGGAGGAGGAGGTAAAACACATATAGCTGTATTATCTCTAAGATTATCTATGTTAATGATCATTGGAGGCCGTTGATAATATGGAGATGGCTTTCGGTAGAAAGGATACACGAAACTCTTATTTGTAACGATGGAAGCATTACTGCTATCAGTTGGCGTCGAAGAACCAGAAGAAGAAGTGGGCGACGCTGGAGGCGTAAGTGAAGAGTACGCCGAAAGGTAGTCTTTAAACCTACACTCTTCGCTGCAGTAAAGGGTACCCTAAAAAAAGTGATTAGAGAGAAAACAATTATGATGGGGGAACAAGATAAATTCGATTAAGAATGATTTAAATGGTTTCAATATTTTACCTGGGTCTTTTGTTCACAAATCAGGCACCAGTCAAGATCCATTTCGAATCAGCAAGCGGATAAATATACGTAAAGGAACACACGTCAAAAATAATTTTTTTTTTTAAGAAAAAAAAATATTTAAAAAAGATTTTTCTTTTTTTGTTTGTAATAAAAAAAAAAAAAAGGACAATTGGTGATATAGTAAGGAAATGAAAAGTAAGTAAATTTGATGTAGTGTGTCTTTATGAAAGGTCCGTCGTTCCGTTCTTCTGAGAAAAAAAGGGAAGAGCCGACACACTCCTTTTACTTTTCAGTACTAATGCGTCACCTAACGATACCGCCTTCTTCACTTTTTCAAGGGACGGAAAAAAAGAAGAAAATGGTGTGGGAAATTATAACAATGGCAAAGAAGAAAGGGTATTTATATTTATTCCATCGACATTGCCAAATTATGATGAAGCTTATTGAAAACTTGACTGCATAAACTAATAATTAACAAATTGGATTTGTTTGTATGTGTGAACAGTGCTCGGTGTTGAAATTCTAGTGATAAAATTGAGTGTAACGAAAGAATGATGAGGAAAGTGATAACGTGCAGATAAAACACACCCAGGTGACCAATTTGTGTTCCGATAAGGTTGGTAGTGAAAATCCCAACCGAATTAAGACAAAAAAAAGCTCAAATGACCTTAAGGAGTGGTGTAATCTGAACTAATGTTTTTTTTTTTTTTTTTTTTTTTTTTGAATATTCCGAAAAAACAAACATGATTATAACCGATCTGTAAATAGTATACCATATCAGATATAGGTTGACGCGCATCAAAAGGAATGGCTTCCATCAACTTTATTAGCTAGAGGCAATACAGTTAAGCGTGGCTTTAACTAGATGCACGCGCGGGGAAACGTTTCATTTTTGGGGAGAAAACGAATGGCGGGGGCTCATAATCCATTATGTGCAGAAATTTATCACAAATAAATAAATATTTGCTCTCTTCACATTGTTATCATTGTTATCACAAGCGAATGAGAATGAGAGTAAATTCTTGAGGTTAATATAAGTGAAAGCATACATGGTTGACAGCCTCAGTTGGCTTTGCTACTTTCGCTTTGTAATTTGTTCTCTCCTAAAGTATCACATGATATCGCAATTACCTTACCCACGCACCGTGAAGTCTTTTTTTTTGACAGCTGACTGAATTTACGTGACACACGCCGCTAATATGGCATAGTATACCGGGTAACTACATAAACATAAGAGCACTTCGCCACATGATACATTTTAAATTTGTTATCAATGTTATCGAAGCGAGATAGAGTAAGGGAATGAGAAGGGTAGTTTGAAATGCAGATTAATTTTAACAATGATAGGTATTTAAAATACTCATTTAGGAAAGCATACAATTATGTACGATCTCATGATAGTTGATTTGTGGCATATATCCTAAATCCTTTCATGGGAAAGTGTTCATGGGTACTTATAATATATATAAATACTGACTGATAAGCAAAGAAAACGAAATTTCGTGGGGTTCTTGCGTCAAATGTTCTCAAAAAAAAAAAAATTTTTTTTTTTTTACAGTATACAATGGTTTCTGAGTCAGTCCACGTGCAAGAAACCGAGAAAAAAAAAATTTGGTTGTATCGATCTTCATAAAACATTTCTAATCATTCCAATCATTATAATCATCAGCATTGCGATATGATGATAGGAAAAATTTTTTTTTTTTTTTTTTTTTTGAATGATGAGTCACCCACCACGTTTTGATAAGTCCAAATCGTTAATCTTTTCACCGGAAATTCGCTTTCGTATCAGACAAAATTCGCTTCACGAGATTACTCTTGTTATATTTTACTTTTATACCACGATTTTTAAAGGAATTCCAGTTTTAATTTTGTGTTTGAGACAATCCTATAAATTCAAATGTCAGGATTTGAAATGTTTATGTTGTAGCATGTTAGCATGTTAAATGATATCATAACACCTGCAGGAAATCCTTTCTACAAATGGTTGTTTACTCGTTATAGCATTTCATTATTCGCTCCGAAATTTAGTATTTTTAATTAAAAAAAGGTTTCGATCATTACACGTCGTAACCTTGTATAATCCTTTTTTATTTCACGGAAGATATTTATCCATATAAAGAACAATGTGGTTTTTTTGGAATTTTACCCCGCGTATTACCAAAATGAACTAGACTTTTATTGTATGTTAATCAACCTTTTCATTTTAATGTATATATATTATATATTATATCATGTATAATTTTGAAGGTAGTAATGTAAAAAAAAAAAATTTTTTACCGAAATTAAATTTCTTTTAACTCGCTCGGGCAATCAATTTGTCTATGAGGATGAGCCGCCTTGAATGCATCCAATTCTAAACATTTGATGTAAATACGATGAATGATCGGAAATTTCGTCATATCTACTTCCCACCTGCAAATATAATAAATAACCACATAAATATTTCGAAATTGACCACGTGATTCATAATCCGATGACGATTACCTGAGAGCATTGTAAACTTGAGGCACAAGACAAACGTCTGCAAGTGTAACCTCATCGCCCACGCAATACTCTTTTGCCGTGGAAGCAAGTTGAACCTCTATGACTACAAAAGAAGGATTACATTCTCTCAAACATAATAAAAATAAAAATAAATTTTTTTTAATTATTTACACTGAAAATTATTCGTCACCCAATATTTAGGCCATTCTTCTTTGCCTGCGTATTTTATGACCCTCAAATTAGTGATGGGTTGCGTATCACTCGCAATCGCTTGAACCAACGATCTAACCTAAAAAAAGAAAATGAACATTATCTGCAAACTTTCTTTTGTGTGTAATGCATATATGTATTCATACCAAGGCTTTCTTGGTAGGGTCTTTCGGTAATAAAGGCTTTTCTGGTCTGGTTTCTTCCAAGTATTCAAGGATGGCGATAGATTGAGTCAGCACCGTTCCATCAATTTCCAACGTTGGAACAACTTGAAACGGATTAAGAGATTTATATTCTGGTGTTTTCTTTTAAAAGGAAATTATGGAAATTTTAACAAGCTTATTTTTAATCTCCAAATCGCACTTCATTCATATCGCACGCACTTGTTCATCCTTTATTAAACTGATTGGAATCGTTTCATAATCAATTCCTTTCCAATTCAAAGTTGTACGAACACGCCAAGAACAAGAAGAACGATAATATGAATAAAAAGTTGGAAGTTCCATTTATCTCGTTTCATCCGACTTAACTAAAGTCTTTATATTAGTAGAATTTTAACGAAATTACAAGAATTTGTACACAATTTTTACCTTTGCAAAAGCGAAAATAAATTTCAACCAAAAAAAAAAAGTGAGGCTGAAATTTATTCATTTATATATTTCAACGGTGATCACTGATAAATTTGAATTTTATTATTTTATTTTTCATTGAGATTATGCTTGGAGGTTAAAACGATAACTCCGCTCCGTTCGAACAAATGGTTAACCGGTTTTATTTTGCCGGTTTTATCATAACCATTATTATTCTGTACCATGTTATGTGTGACGCAGAATTTAACACCATCCTTGTAAAAAAGGAAGTGACAAATTAAATATTAAATTAAGTCACGTGGAATAATGTTAATATTTGATATTTTTGGTTGATCCCAAGATCAGATGGCTTAGCAATCGTTTTTTTTAAACGTTTCTTCACCTTTGATCAAAAAATAACTCGATTGATAACATACATTGAAATATTTCTTAAAGATAAAACAAATTTTTTTAGATTAACACGATTTAAGATATAAAAATTTTGGTTTCTTGAGACGTCACTTTGTTAATTTTTGTCATTTTAACTATTATTTTTTATTTTTTTTTAATTTTATCGAATAAAAATACTTCGAATAAAAAGAAAAAAATGAGCTCTTATATAGCTCGAGCCGGAGGAACTCACCTTAAAATTTGCATAAATAATGCGGTTTGTTTCCGTGGTTCATTAAAACAAGGGATTTATTTAACTAGGTCTTGTTCTTACCTTGCTTCTAAAACTATCAATTCTATAGTGAGAAAAGACAAAAGTAGTTTGTTTAATCTAGCAAAAAGTACAAACTTTTTCAATGTTGAGAAAAAAAACTTTATAAGAATGTATGCTACAGAGACAAACCAACCACTTGGTAATAAGGAAAATGATAAGAATCATGAAGGGGATAAGAATTCTGATAAAGAAAAAAAGTGTGATAGTGAAACTGAAATTAAAGTTCCCAAAGGATTTGAGAATTTTTTTAATAAAAATTCACAAAAGATAAAACATCAAGTTTCGACATCTGATAATAATGATAATAATAATAATAATAAGAGTGAGCAACAAAAAAAATCCTCAAAGCAACCTCCAAATGTTAGGGAATTTAGCATGCAATTGAATTCCAATACTTTGCTTCCACTTCTGTTTTCCGCTTACATTCTGTACAAGATTACCAGTAGTGTTGATAATTCTCGCGAGATCACGTGGCAAGAATTCAGAACGACATTTTTGGATAAAGGTTTGGTGGATAAATTGGTGGTGGTCAATAGGAAAAAAGTTCGAGTATTTTTACATTCAAATGCTACAGGACAAATGTATCCAAATGCTCCTTCCTTACCGGTAACAACTTATTATTTCAGTATAGGATCCGTGGAGGCATTTGAACGTAAATTAGATTCTGCTCAAAAAGAATTGGGTATTCCTTCAACGGAACGTATTCCGGTAGCATATCATGATGAGATTAGTTTATTGAATACATTATTACATTTTGCTCCAACGCTACTTCTGGCTGGGGCATTGTTTTACATTACTAGGCGAGCTGGTGGTGCCGCCGGATCACAAATCTTTGGAATTGGGAAATCTAAAGCTAAATTATTTAATCAAGAAACGGAAGTTAAAGTCAAGTTTAAGGATGTGGCGGGTATGGATGAAGCCAAAGAGGAAATCATGGAATTTGTTAAATTCTTAAAGGATCCGACAGCTTATGAAAAGTTGGGAGCTAAAATACCAAAAGGGGCCATTTTAAGTGGACCTCCGGGTACCGGTAAAACTTTACTTGCAAAGGCTACCGCGGGTGAAGCTGGTGTTCCATTCTTAAGTGTGTCAGGATCCGAGTTCGTTGAAATGTTTGTTGGTGTTGGTCCATCTAGGGTACGCGATTTATTTGCAAATGCGAAAAAGCACGCACCTTGTATAATATTTGTGGATGAAATTGACGCGATTGGAAAATCTCGAGGGAAGATAGGTCAATTCGGCGGGAATGATGAACGGGAGAGTACGTTAAATCAACTGCTCGTAGAATTGGACGGGTTTGGATCAAGTGAGCATGTCGTCGTTTTAGCAGGCACGAATAGACCGGATGTATTAGATCCCGCTTTAATGCGTCCAGGTCGTTTTGACAGACATATCGCCATAGATAAACCTGATATCAAAGGCAGAAGTGCAATATTCAAAGTACATTTGAAACCGATTAAAACCAAGGAAAATGTTGATCGCCTTTCAAACAAGTTAGCCGCATTAACACCTGGATTTTCTGGTGCCGATATAGCTAATGTTTGTAATGAAGCAGCGCTCATCGCAGCACGTTATCAAAAGGATTCCGTTACTGAAGAACATTTTGAGCAAGCGATTGATCGCGTTATTGCCGGTTTAGAAAGAAAATCTCGCGTGTTATCCTCTGAGGAAAAAAAGACCGTGGCATATCATGAAGCAGGACATGCGGTTGCTGGGTGGTTCCTTGAGCATGCCGATCCGATATTAAAAGTGTCTATCATCCCTCGTGGTGTCGCGGCACTCGGTTATGCTCAATACTTGCCAAAAGATCAATATTTATATTCTACCGCGCAATTATTAGATCGCATGTGTATGACATTAGGTGGAAGAGTATCAGAACAAATATTTTTCAACATGATAACGACAGGAGCGCATGATGACTTACAAAGGGTCACAAAGTTGGCTTACGCTCAGGTTACCGTTTATGGTATGAATCCGAATGTGGGCCCTTTATCTTTCAATAATCCTAATGATAATGAGCCTCAGTTTCAAAAGCCTTATTCTGAGGAGACAGCTAGAATGATTGATGATGAAGTTCGTAAATTAGTGTCGATAGCATATGAAAGAACGATGAAATTACTTACGGATAAAAAGAATGACGTTGAAAAGGTGGCACAATTGTTGCTTTCCAAAGAAGTAATAAATCGAGAGGATATGATATCATTATTAGGAAAAAGACCTTTTACCGAAAAGCATCCTTTTGATGATTATGTTAACCAATCCGAAGATAAAGAAAAGCCACCGTTACCGAAAGATGAACAATCACAGACATCTCCGAACGTATAATTATATAGTTGATATTTATAATGTTATTATTTACGTACATGTTATTAGAATTATAAATTTTTAATTTTTTGTCATTAAGTAGTAAAGGGTGCAAAAAAAAACAACAAAAAAAATTTTTTATTATCATTAATCATAATAAACGATAATTAATACTTTGATCCCTAAGAATTAATCTCGTGATCAATTATTGAAACCACGGGTAACATTTCTACATTTAATTAGACTCTTTCATAACCCAGCAGAGCAGGTATCCTTGTTCTTTCAATTAAGATTCTCTTTTTGAAAATTCTCGACTTTGAACAGTTTTTTTTTTTTTTTTTCCCTTCACTTGATCATAGTGGAACGGTTCTGGATGATCGAGAAAGAACGGCGCATTTATCCATATGGGACTCCAGTTCATTTCATTTACTATTGATAAAATTTTATGATTACATATTATTAATTAAATCGGAATCGAATAACTCTAATTAATTAATGATCACTACACAATATTCATTCGACTTACTAAAAGACAAGAGGACCATGATATTCAAAACAGATTATAAATTTGCAGAGGGGCACATATCGCTGACAGGACAGCTAGAACATTTTGGATATCTTGGCAAACATGTCGTTTGCCCAAATCCAACAAATATCGGGTTTATTTCTCGCCACAATGACCTTGGAAGCCATGATTCCAATGACTTCAAAATATATATATAAGAAAGTATTTTTAGTAAAATAAGTTACTTGAACTTGTAATATAAAATATTTTACCTGTCGAGTGTTTTCTGGACCAACTTTTTCTGTTTTACACCAACCAAGCCGATTTGATATTCGGTGAACATGAACGTCAACGCCTATGCCTTGATTTCTGATAATAATAAATCCATGTTAAAATTAGTAATATAATTAAACCAAAACATCAAAGATTACTTACTGTTTCCAAGCAACTTGCATACAAAGGTATGCCTGTAATTTAAAAAAAAAACAAAATCCACTTGTAGCAGAAAGGTTTATAAAGAGAATCAAATTTTTAAAGAAAATACCATCTTTGGTCCAACTCCGGGTAATTTCATTAAACCTTCAACAGTATCGGGTATATCATTGTCATATTCTTCTTTACATACTTTAGCTACTTGTTTCAAATATCTGAAAGGGTGTATCATGTTTTGTTTTCACTAAAATTATGATCCCTTTATTTCAATCTTTTTTTTTTTTTTTTTTTTTTTTTTTTTAAAAAAAAAAAAAAAAAAAGGAAAAAAAAAAATTATATATATATATATCTATATATAGTATATACCTCTGGTAGTGGTGGTGGTTGTGGTGGTGGGGGCGTAATTACTGCTTCATTGGAATGGATACCTTTTCCATTACCATTAATCATACCATCTGTATCATTTTCCCATAAAGCGGCATAAGATGGTCTACGTTTGGCTTGCTCTAAAAATTGTTTGACAAGTCAAGGATTCACTATTCATTAGTTTACAACATATATCAGATCAGGATTGAATACAAAAACGCGACAAAATAAGAATACATGACATACCATCAAAATTTTCTGAATTATTATTACTCTCCCTTCGAGTAACATAAATTTCCTCCTCTTTTTGTATGGAATCCATTTTCGCGGTACTTTCCATAAAATCAAAATCTTGACCTAAAACATTGAAATGCATAACAAATTTGGAATCAGATTAAATGCTTTTGAATTTTAAGAGCTCAAAATCAAAAGCAAAGGTGATCTAAATTTTAATGTTGGATAAAATTTGCAGAATACACAACACAAGACAACAATAAAAAAAACACACACACACACGCACCAACGTCACCAACATTTCCAAAAGTTTCGTCGTTTAAATCGTCCCCTGTCTCTACTAGCTGGGCACTCAAATCAAAATTTTGTTCATCGTCAAAAGCCCCAACGTCTTCTCCTGGATGGAGAGAGAACTCTTTAAATTTCCTCTCAAAGTCCTCCTCCTCGGTCTCGTCGTTTTGTTCACCCGTATTTCCTTCTAATCCGGTTAATTGATCAGAGTTTAATGGGGGCAAGGTAGTATCGAAGCCGAAGAAAGAGTCTGACATTATTATCTATCTCTTATCTTTGTTTCACCTTTATTAGATGTGAGATCCAAAATTTTTTATGAGAAATATATATATATTAAAAGCGAAATACCGTTATGGTAAATTTTTATTTTTTGACGTTAACGAAAAATGTTACATGAGATACACTTTTTTTTGATAGCCTATTAGAAATTAAACCAACTTCTAGGTTCGCGCACGTTGTTCTACTAGATGTCTAATAAAGGTATCAATCGAATGCCATCAAAAAAAAAAAAATTACTATATAGAATGACATAAAATGTGACTTTTTCTAAATTGGTAACTGATTTTTGTGATATTAAATTCAATTATTTATAAATACATTAAATTTATTTGTGCCTTCAAATCTTTATCATTTTAATTCGTGATTTTAAGTAATGCCCCAAGAAAGAGCTTCACGAATACGTTTTCGTAATGCCACACAACCTTTGAACCCAAGATTATCAAGGTACTAAATAAGAGGAAAAAAGATATGTATATATATATATTCTTACAAAATTTTGTTAATCCCTTATCGTTTAATGCTTCAATAATTTAATCACTATTCTATAATTGTATTTTAAGGAATGAATTCACCGAATTAGAAGATTATTTAGTGTTATATATATATAATTCTTATTTCTTTCTTTAGATTCTCTTACCCTCGTTCAAGACAATTCTAATATTCCCGGTACTTTTGAGATACCTCAACATTACACTCCACCTCAGACATCTCCACCTCCCGGTTTTGGACTTCCGTCACATCCTTCTAATCGCTTGCCAATGTCTCTTGACGAAATTGAAGCGCAATTATACAGGCAACCTGGTTTACCAGAAAAAAGGATTTACAGTTTGGCTGAAGTCGAGGCTGCTATATTGGGTATAAATGGGCGTCCACCACCTTCACAACAATTACCCATTCATCCTGCGACGGAGGCTGTTTTTAGAGAACAGGAAACTATTGCTTATCTTGAACAAGAGTACAAGAGACGAGAGAAGCAACGAAAATTGGCCGAAATGGTATTTAATTTGATTCCGTTATTAAAATACATTCTTTTTTTTTTCGAAATTTATTTTTAAAACAATGGTCTTTTAAATTAATTCAGTCCAGATATAATGGTCTTATGACTCAAAGCGATAAAGACTTTATTAATCGAATTCAAATATCTCAACTTGTGACGGACGACCCATATGCTGATGATTTTTACTTTCAAGTTTATACAGCTATAAGAAGTCGACAAGCACAGCCTCAAATGTCTGCTTTTTCACCGCACCTTGGAGGAGCTGGATTTATGGGACACGAACGAGGTAGACATCGTAGTAGGGGATCAGAAAGTGGATTACTAAAAATGCAGCAACAAGTTTTGAGGATAGTAAATGATGCCAGAAGAAAACCAAAATTAACTCAGCGTAAGAAGTTCGGATTATTTTTTAGATTGATTATATAAAACAATACATTTCTCTCTTTATATATATATATACAAATTTATTACTTCGAGCGTTTACAATACACATACGCATATATTTTCTTTTTCGCATTAAGTATCACTTGAAGGTGCTTTAGGTAAAATTGCACTTAATTCCGTTCGCAATCCCAGACAGCTATTACAAGTTTCTTCAAAACATAATGATATACACCATCATGCGGGTCCAAGTGGAGGGATTCATCAACCACACCAAAAAGTTCCATCAATTTCTTCCCATGGTATCGTAGATCATAGAAAAGTACTGCGGTCCATTGAGAATGTATACACAGCCGTACTTGCCTTGGAGGAGTTAAGAAGGAACCAACCACCATTACCAAGGTATGCTGCGGATCATGAACGAGAGGTGGTTGAAAAATGGTATGTGTAACTCTTTCTTGAAGAATATATATTTTTTATTCGCGATATCTAATTATTATTTTGGTTTAGGAATGAAGAGTATACAGAATTAGCAGTGACAATG